GGGGGCTACCTCCCCCCGCCCGGTACGCCTATGTAAGTAATGATAAATTACAGTTAATATTCTAGTTTACTTTTTGTGCATTTTTTCCATCTTATTTCAAATACAAGTATAGTTAGCATAAATCTTAGAGCAAATTTGGATGCTCAGAATGCAGGAAATGGCATTTCCGTGCTTCAAATTTCAAACATTTTCTGGGGAAGTACACCCCCACACACATGACCATTGCTATCCTCCTCTAATAAGTAATGGTTAATTTTTTTTAACATTTTGTGCGTTTTTTCCTTTATTTATTTCAAACACAAGTATAGTTAGCATAAATTTTGGAGCAAATTTGGATGCTCAGAATGCAGGAAATGACATTTCCGGGATTCAAATTTCAAAAATTTTCTGGGGGATTACTCCCCCAGACCCCTAACATATTATAGACCTAATATATTATCTCACAAAAAGGTCCCTTTTCAAAAAATGCCCCCCCCCCACGGGAAAATCGTTAAAAAAGGCCCTGGCACGACTTAACTGGGTTGCACAAAACGTGGTTAGTCGGATAGTTAATTAATCACGCAGTTAACTGTGCGCGGAGCTTGCGTGGAGCGTTTAAACACAAAATTACATAAAGTAAGCAGCTAGTAACGACCACTGACACACATTTTCAACATGATTGTGGACTCGTATTTTGCAAATAGGCGGGAATTTTATTTAAAAATCAAAACACTAGAAAACAGTGAAAAATAAACAAGAAAACAGTGGCGTAACTACTATGGGCTCAGACCGGGAGAACCCGGGGGCCCCCAACCCAAATGGGGGCCCCCAGGCTTAGGCGATAGAGCAAAAACATTGGTCAGGGCCTCTGATATGTTACAATGACGTTTTATGACCATCCGAATTCTGTAAAATCTCTCCCCAAAGTCCAGGAAATGGCATTTCAGAGAGTCTAGATTCAAAAATTTTCCGGATGAACATGCCCTGGACCCCCTAGAAAACTCGTGCATATACGGCGCTCGACTCGTGCCTTTGGTACTTCTACTAGGGGGGCCTTCGAAAATTTTGAACCGGGGGCCCCCTGATATAACGTTACGCCACTGCAAGAAAACAAGGAAAAACCGCCACAAAAATCATAAAAGAATGCTGTTTTTCCTTGAGATGTCTACGTTAAACCAAGGTATAGCTGTTTGGCAATTAATATCAGTGTTTCTTGGTGTAATGGACCATACTTCGTCTTCGAGAAATCGTCCTGTGCAAAAATATGTTCTGTTTTCGTAAAAACACCAAAGCGATAGCGTTTGAAGAGTTTATATTGTCAGGAAACATTCACAGGGAAGATAGCGATTGAAAATCTCAGGTAACCGTTGCTTTTCATTGTTGTTTTACTGAAAAATGTTGTTCACTCCTATACAAACGCCATTTTTAACTACGTTTTGGACAGTTAACTATACCCTAAAGCATAGTTAACTTTAACTACTTTTTAACTGCAGTTAAGGCTAACTACACCATAGGCAGCCCAAAACGGCGTGTAGAATGCACCAATAATGCTTCCAAATGTCAATTTGCATTAAGCTCGCCCCATTCCTTTGTCATTTCTCGCGCGCCGCAAGCACTCAATTTGAAAAGCAGTGTTGATATATATAGATTATACCTAAGGTTGTCAACTATATCTCAACTGACGAATATACGACTTCGGCAAAACGCAAAATACTTCGTATACGTAAATAAAACATGATAAAAAGTTATACCACATTGAACTCTGATATTTTTTCTACATACCCGCATATAAATTTTGTTTTCAAGACTGCAAGAAAGATGAAAAATTTGTATGCGGGATGCCAAAGGTTATTTCATTCGTCATATTTTTAACAGTAACTACGTGATTAAAGTTAACTATTTTTAGGGCTTTTTAACTACTTTTTAACTGCAGTTAGCGCTAACTACGTTTTTATACAACCGGCCCCAGCTCTTTACGTAATTTCAATTCGTTAAATAATGAAAACAAAATTTTATTGTCATACTGTATTCTTTTACTAAAGGAATACCGAATGGTTTTCCGTGCAGGATTGTGTGATCCATGCACGAGGGATGTCGCGAGACTTTCGGAAAGCGTAAAAATACTCGAGCCGCAGGCGAGTGTATTTTTACGCTTTCCGAAAGTCGAGCAACATCCCAAGTGCATGGATCACGCTATCCTGCTTGGAAAACCATTTGGTAATTGTTTTATAAAATAACTACAGTGAAACAATGACATTTTGAGAATCTCGCGAAAATCCCGCGAAGGCATTTTAATTCATCGTGCAGGATAGCCTGATCCTGCACGGCTATTGACCAATCAAATTGCGTGTTTCACTGTAGTTATTATATAATATTGTTTCTCTGTGATTTTCAGGTAACCTCGGTCTATATGATCAACGTTTGGCGATGAAATGGGTTAAAGAGAACATTGCATATTTTGGTGGAAATCCAAAATCAATCACCGTATTTGGTGAGAGTGCTGGAGGAGCGAGTGTCTCAGCACATACGTTATCTAAAGGTAGCTGGGAGTTGTTTGACAGAGCTATTTTGCAAAGTGGAAACATGCTTATGCCGTGGGCGATTATGACAGATTCCCAAATCAAAGATGTATTAGAATGGTTTCTAGGAGAAGTTAATTGCAACAATGATGAAAATGTGCTTGAATGTCTACGAAATGTGACTGAAGACACATGGAAAAGAGCGGAGAATAGGCAACAATTTTGGGGAATATGGACTGGCCCTAATGTTGATGGAGAATTCATTGCTGATAAACCACAAAAAATATGGGAGGACGGAGACGTCAAAAAACAAGATATAATTATTGGAATTACTAAAGATGAGATGTTTCTGGACCAGCAATATTTATTGCTAAAGTCTACGAACATAAGCTTTTATTTGAAACATTTCGAGGAATTACTAAAGAAGCATTTCAAGAATTCATCCGAAGCGGTGCATGAGAAAGCGAGAGAATTGTACCTACCGAAATGTATTCCTTCCTATTTGGAAGCGTTAAAACCGAGCGTGGCATTTGAATCAGATCGAATGATGATTTGTGGGAGCAGACAGGAGGCTAAACTAAGATCTAAACACACGAGTACTACAAATATTTATGCATTTCAATATTCTCACGCCCCATTGGTAAACTATTTCATTTTGTACCCTTATGGAGTATTTGGATTTGCCGCCCATGGACTCGATATTATAGTAAGAAATTCTGCTTTTTATTCTAATTAAATGCAAGACTTGCGAATTGATTTATGCAATGAGTGGAAGAGTCATCATAAAGGGCGAGACATGAATCCATAACCCTCCGAGACAAAAGAAATTATGGTGGATTTTTAGACAGAATAATACATTTCAAAATCTAATCATTTTTGAACAAGTAATATCATGCAGTAACTGATAGTGATCTCTCCTTGTATTTTAGTCGGTGTTTGGTTCGCCAATTAATGATACGAAGTTCCGGTCTGATGATCGAACACTCTCTTTGAGAATGATATTATATTGGACAAATTTTGCTAAAACCGGGTAAGTTTCAACGTTTACTCCCGATGGGCGTATTTTTGTCAAGGGTTACGGTTTAGCGAGCGACACTCAGAACATTTATCCTAGGTTTCAATTTCATTTTCCCGTCAAAATTGCTAACCGTGCCACTGATTTGGCAAATTCCATCCCCAGCAGCAGACGATGTAGACTTGCCACAAGTCGACCATGGCGGAGGGAGAGAGGGCGCGTGGAAGGGAACGCGCCACCCGAGCGACGAAGTCGCGAGTGGCCGACTTGTGTCCCTTGCAGGAATTTAAATCGCATTAAAAATTTTGGCGCGAATAATTTTGACATAAAAAGGGTGTGTACATTTCATACAATTACTTCACGGCGCCGACAATGTCTACAAAAACACAAAAGCATTCTCAAGAATTGATATTTCGTTGTCCTCGAAAGGATCGTGACTAAAACACCACACGAGTACATACGAGTAACATACGAGTAACACACAAGTACATACGAGTACATACGAGTAACACACCAGTACATACGAGTAACATACGAGTACATACGAGTAACATACGAGTACATACGAGTACATACGAGTAAAACACAAGTACATACGAGTACATACGAGTACATACGAGTAGAATACAAGTAAAATACGAGTAAAATACGAGTAGTAAACTTGTTTTTAGTGTTTGTAGATTGAATGAAGGCAAAAAGATCGTCTTCTCTGTCGAAAAACGTGGAATGGAGGAACGGGCAATGGGGAACGGGCAATGGGAGAACGGGGAATGCGGGAACGGGGGAACGAAAAACGGGGGGGGACAGGGGAATCGGGGAATTATGAATTATTATTAATACGTAATATTAATCATATGTACGGGGGGGAAAAGAACAGAAAAAAGAAACAGAAATTCGACAGGATAAACGGCAATCGGGGAATTACGAAACTATAAAACGGACTCTGGTGTCTTGGGAATTAGAAAACCGCTCAATGAATTAAAACTAGTAAAGAAATTTAGCGAAGCTTTCCTTTATTAGTACAGCGTATCATAAAAAGGTCAATCCACATTGCTTATGTCCGATCATTAAGTAATATTAATAATAATACCATTGCTTATGTCATTACTAATATACTTGCTATGTAATAAAGCAAACTTAAGGACTAGATGCAAGCCCAAGGCAGTCCTTATGCTCCATATGATATCTTAAAGTGATTATCCTATTTTAAATATCTTACAAAGCAAAACTAACAAAACACAAAATACTTCAAAATACGCAGATTTTAAGCTAGCAATTTAAGTTGGCAAGTACGTTTCTAAAGGACCCAGCCGAACTCTCCTGCAAGCCTTTGGACGTGCTCCACCTTGAAAAGGGAAGGAAAGTCTGGAGGAACGAGAACGTCCCCAAGAAAGCTTGGATACTTTGCTCTGATGCAGGCTGATCGGAAATGAAAATGCACGTTCTGAGGCTCACTTGAAAACTGGATTTGTCCTGCAGGGCCTTTTTTAACATACAAGCTGGGGGGCCATTTGCCCCACCCCCAGTCCCCCCTTGTGCCCCCCCCACACGAAATCACATTTTGCACCCCTCCCAGAAAAAGTCCCTTTTCCTAAATTTATACAAACAAACCAGCGAAGAATAACAAATTGATAAACGGAACGTAAGTTTTAGGCTTTATCCTTTGTCCTTGTTTAACGAATCGATTTAAAGGACTGTGTCACCGCGTGCGCATCCTACGTGTTTCTAACACTAAGTAATGATAAATTATTGTTAATATTTTTTAAATTCTTTGTGCGTTTTTCCTTCTTTTATTTCAAATAGAAGTATAGTTAGGATAAATTTTAGAGCAAATTTAGATGCTCAGACGGCAGGAAATGGCATTTTTGGGCTTCAAATTTCAAAACTTTTCTGGTGAAGTATGCCCCCAGACCCCCCTATTCATTCACGGTATGTCGGCCACACATGGCCATTGCTATCCCCCTTTAATAATAAGTAATGGATAAATTATTGTTTAATATTTCTTTTATTTTTTCTGCATTTTTTCCTTTTATTTCAAATACAAGTATAATTAGCATAAATTTTAGAGCAAGGAAATGGCATTTGAAAAGTTCAAATTTAAAACATTTTCTGGGGGAGTATGTCGGCCACACACGTGGCCGTCGGCCTTTGCTATCCCCCTCTAATATATTATCTCACAGAAAGGTCCCTTTTCAAAAAATGCCCCCCCCCCCACGGGAAAATCCTTAAAAAAGGCCCTGTTGTCCTGTATTTCGGTCTCGGAACTGTCGTATGTCGTCACGGTATACGTTAACTGTGTAGTTCGTATATTTGCCTAGCCACATGTTGTGATTGAGGCTATGTGAGGATTGTAAGTTTATCACCTAGTACTATTTAAGTATAGATGCAGTTAGGTTATGTGCATGCTCACAGGGTTTTGAAAGCAAACCATGCCGTGAAATATGTGAAGCCTATGGTTTGTGTCATGTATCCAACTATCTAGTTAGAATACCTAAAAGTAGATGTTGTACAAACTACAAAGTTGTGGTTTATAGAATCGGGCAGACCTCCCCCGCCCCCTATTTCCTCCCCCCCCCCTCGCCCCACCATTCCCTCCATTCCCCGTCCCCCCATTCCCCACCACCCCATTCCCGCATTCCCCGTTCTCCCATTTCCCGTTCCTCCATTCCCCCATTCCCCGTTCCTCCATTCCTCCATTCCCCCATTCCACGTTTTTCGACAGAGAAGACGATCTTTTTGCCTGTATTCAATCTACAAACACTAAAAACAAGTTTACTACTCGTATTTTACTCGTATTCTACTCGTATGTACTCGTATGTACTCGTATGTACTTGTGTTTTACTCGTATGTACTCGTGTGTTACTCGTATGTACTCGTATGTTACTCGTATGTACTCGTGTGTTACTCGTATGTACTCGTATGTACTTGTGTGTTACTCGTATGTTACTCGTATGTACTCGTGTGGTGTTTTAGTCACGATCAAAATTCTGCGCGTATCGTTGGTTCAGTAGCTCTGTTGCCGGTTGTATATAAAAACAGTTCAACGAATAACTTTGCAGTCTGAGCTGTTGATATCACAGAGACCTTTGTACTATAAGTATAACAGTATTTTAGTAAAATTTGATAGTCATGTGATAGCTGCATAAAAGCTAAGCAAGTACTTTTGATGTTTTGATATCATTGTATAGTTGAAATAGAATAGATAAGTGATCTGTATATTAGTATATATGGGAATATTAATTTTCAACCATACTTGGCAGTTTGGGTTCTGTTATTATGTTCAATTATTTTCACTGTGATTTATTAAATACTTGGTATTACTGTATACAGTATGCTTGCTAAGGCCTGCTTACTGTATTAAAGTAGAGTAGTTGGTGGAATTATTTGATCAATACAGCTTTATGGCATTACAGAGAATGTAGTAAATTAAAAATATGATAACATTTCAGATAATCAGGCTTACACACTTGTATGTTGATGTCAGTTGCAATGCCAAACTCATAGAATATATAAGTGAGTATTGTGAGTCTGAAGAATTTTGATTGACAGTATTTGTGTTTTACTGACGTGAAACTGTGCCGGTTTTTATTGCAAAATAGGGCGAGTTTAGGCGAGTTAAGCAAAATTCTGTCAACTTCCCATTGCGAGATAAGGCGAGATTGGGCGAGTTAAGCAAAATTCGATCAATTTCTATTGCGAGATAGGGCGAGTTAAGGCGAGTTAAGGTCCCAGAGTAGGCCTTAAATATCAGCAACCAAGATACACTGAAGCGAAAATACAAGTCAAAAAAATCGAATAAGAAATCTAAGACGTCTGAGGAGCAAAGCAAAGACGAACAACGGTGTATAACTGATTCACTTAATTTCTAAAACCACTCAAACCTCTCAACCGATTAACGAGGTGAGTAATGCAATAAAAATACAACTAGTTCTCCTAAAAGCATCCAATCTCCAAGCAAAAAAGTCACGGTATAGTTGCTGGAGATTCTATATTGAAGCATGTAGAAGGATGGCGTCTATCGAACGCGAGTAACCATGTGGTAGTCAAGAGTTTCTCAGGAGCTACAACTTCTGATATGGAAGACTTTTTAAGACCAGTGCTCCGAAAGGAGCCGAACAAAATAATTTTACATATAGGTACGAACGATATAAACTATCAAACTGCCCAAACGGTAGCAGAGGGAGTATTAAATCTAGGCATACAAATTACTCAAGACTCGCCTACAACAGATATAGTGATCTCTGGGATACTTCCAAGAACCGATAAACCAAATTTGATGTCCAAGGTGAATCAGGCAAACAGATTAATAAAAGCATTTTGTATTGAAAAGAACTGGGCATTTCTAGATCATGAGTCTTTCAACTCAACTTGCTCGAGGACTACATTTAAATCGAAAAGGAACTAGTATATATTAGCCAGAAATATATCTAAGTATATTAGTACTGATTAGGATATTGCCATTTGTGAGTCTGCTTCCATTTCACCTACCCATCCTGCAGCCTTTGACAAATCGCCTTACTCAAAATTATTCAAGCGGGGCCTTGTGCATGATGGCATCACTGAACATTAATAGCCTAACTGCTCACATTGATGAAGTGAGAATTTTTACACATGATACAAATATTGATATATTAGCCATTAATGAAACCAAACTAGATGCCTCTGTCCACAGCAATGAAGTAAATTTACCAGGATACGAGATCATTCGAAAAGATCGCAATATCAATGGTAGACATGGTGGTGGGGTATGTATTTATGTACGTAGTAATTTAAATTTTAAAGTTCGCAATGATTTCATGAACGACAAGCTAGAGTGTCTAATTGTTGAGATATCCAAGCCTCGATCTAGGCCGTTTTTGGTAGGTACTTGGTATAGACCACCCAATTCTCCTAGAGAATTATTAAATCTATTTGAAAACACAATCGATCGAATCGATGCTGAAAACTCTGAATTATACTTTCTTGGAGACCCAAATTGTAATTTAACTGCTCAAATCTCTGATGCAAACACTTCTGATTTGTTAAATATCCTAGACACTTATGGTCTGACACAATTAATCTCTGAACCAACTAGAATAACACCAGTTTCACAAACCTTAATTGACGTATGCATTACTAATTACCCAGAGAAAGTGACCTCTTCCGGTGTCCTCTCGCTGGGTATAAGTGACCATTCACTTGTCTATATGATTCGCAAATCTGGTTACCCAAAGACAACAGGAAGGACTATTAAAAGGAGAGATTTTAAACACTTTAATGAGACAAACTTCCTTGATGGTCTTTCCCAGCTAAATTGGGATGTTATTCAAAGTTATGATGATCCAAACGACATGTGGAGAGTTTGGGTTGACACGTTGATGAACGTAGTGAATAAACATGCCCCAATAAGGGAGACTAGAATTGGTAAAAAAAGATCACCTTGGATCACTCCTAATATCCTACAACAAATGCGTTCAAGAGATTATTTTAAAAAGAAGTTTGAAACCACTAAAGACATTTCTACTTGGAATTTATATGAGAAAGCTAGGAACGAAGTGAACAGCAATCTGAAACAATTGAAACGTGACTATTTCAGTACCAATCTTGACTGAGCAAAAAATGACCCGAAGAAAATCTGGAATCTTATAAATCAACTTAGTTCTCGTAATGTTAGCAAACGCTCTACTGTTAATAGAGTTGACTTTAATGGTGCAGAAGTAACCGATACGCATGAAATAGCTGAGGCATTTAACACACATTTTACCGAGATAGGTGAAAACCTGGCTAAAAGTATTCCTATAATTGATGTCAACCCAATATCTTATATTAACTCTACAAATAGTGTGTTTTCCATAAACACAAAAAAATCTAGTGGTCCCGACAACATTCCATGCAAATTACTAAAGTTAGCTAGGGATGTTGTATCCCCTTCCCTGACGCATATATTTAACAAATCACTTTGCCCTAGCATATACCCAAAAGAATGGAAAATCGCCAATGTCATGGTGCCAAACACGACTTCAACAATTATCGTCCAATCTCAATTATTTCAGCCGTTGCAAAATTATTTGAAAGTATTATTCACGACCAATTTGATTACTATTTAACGTGCAATAAATTACTGAATAAATGTCAGTCTGGATTTCGAAACAACGAATAGGTGGTCGATAAATATCGACAATGGACTACTCAATGGTGTAGTTTTTATCGACTTAAAAAAAGCTTTCGATACTATTGATCACGCAATTCTTCTGGATAAACTTGCTCAATACGGGGGGTTGATGAAAACGCATTAACATGTTCCACTCTTATCTAACCGATCGTACACAAAGATATTGTGTAAATGGACATCTATCTAGTAATCGACCAATCACTTACGGTGTCCCCCAAGGTTCAATAATAGGTCCCCTTTTATTCTTGGTCTATATCAATGACTTGCCGAACTGCCTGAACAATGGCTTATCGAGTATGTACGCGGATGACACAAATATTAGCTTTCAAAGCTCTAATCTTTCTGATCTTGAAGAAATTATGAACACCGAGCTGAGTAGTTTAAACACCTGGCTCAATGCGAACAGATTAAGCTTAAATATTACTAAAACTGAATTCATGGTCATTGGCTCTCGACAGAGGCTGATGTACCATGATGTTAACAATCTTAATATATGCGTAGATAACACTCAAATTAAAAGTGTACAGCACACGAAATCCTTAGGTGTAACAATTGATGAAAATTTAACTTGGAAGAACCATATTGATACTATCTGTAAAAAAGTATCCTCAGGAATTGGTGCCCTCAAACGAGTGAGGCGATTTGTAAACAGGGAAATTGCAGTGAAAGCGTACAAAGGCTTAATTGAGCCTTACCTTAATTACTGCTGCCCGGTTTGGGACGGTATTGGCAGCGAGCTGAGCAGTAAGTTACAAAAGTTACAAAACCGTGCTGCTCGTATGATCACGGAAAGCACATATGAAAACTCCTCGAATTCTTTACTGCAGGAGTTAAACTGGCACCAGTTATCTCTTAATCGCAAAAAGCATAAAGCAATTCTTATGTATAAAACTATAAACAAGAGGGTACCGGAATATCTACAAGACATATTTATTTCGCGATCTTGTCCTTACAGATTGAGAAACAATGAAAATACATTATTTGTCCCTAAGCCACATACAGATTATCTAAAGCGCTCACTCAGCTACGATGGAGCTGTTTTATGGAATAGTTTACCAACTGAACTTCGTTCGGCGCAATCTCTTAGCGCTTTTAAACGAGGTCTAGAATGTTGGTTAGCTTAGATTCACACACGGCAATCATGTAAATCAGTACTGTTCTGTCTTTTGTAAATAGCATTTGTATTTTTTTCCCTTTTCCTCCTTTTTCTATACTTTATATATATCTATATTATGTAAATTTTTACTGATGATTCTACCGTGTCAAAATAAAGTTTATAATAATAATAATAATAATAATAACCAGATACCGCTCGTAACGGCCCTGATAAGAATGCATTCATCAATGTGTATCGCAATTGCATCGAATGCATTATGGCAGTAAAGCATGGCAGTTCGCGAACTATTCTTCTCAGGGTAACAGTGGCATAGATATCTTATATACACTAGATAGCGCATCTCTTTTAGTAAAATTGAAGCCATGTTGGCAACTTCGTACCCAGGCTCTTACCTTCGCTCGCCCTCCGCTGCGGAAAGATTAACATAACGTTCATCATTTCAATACTTTAAAAATGTATTTGGAATAGGTTTAACTTAATGTTTAAGTTAAGTTCTCTGTTTAAGAAATAGAAAACATACGAATCTTTTCATTTATGGGAATATCCTGAGTCTGCAATCACGGCTTCAGTTTTTGAATTGCAGAATAATTGGATGAACTATCTAGTGTATATAAGATATCTATGAACAGTGGCCATCAAGATATTATGCAATAATAATAATATGATATTATGCAGTAATAAATTTATGTGGTGTTTCCACAAACAAAACTATTATATGTCTTATCGCCATGCAAACGTACAAAGAACTTATTACCTCCGCCAGGAGGTTATGTAATCATCTGGGTTTGTATGTGTGTGTGTATGTGTATGTGTGTGTGTATGTTTGTGTGTTTGTCTGTCTATGAGCACGATAACTCAAGAAATTCCAAACATATTCATACGAAATTTTTTGCGGTATTTCCCATCGGCTAAGGAAGAACTGATTAAAATTTGGTTAAAAATTGAACGAGAATGCGTAATTAGGACGTGTATAATGTATGCACGCAGTACTAAGACAATAATGAGATGATAAACCTCATTAAGCTTCAGCCTTCGTTATCTATTGTCTTAGTTGCATTTCACACACCGAAATTCAATGCGGGCGGAGGTATGCAGTCTCTGAGTGCCCTCTAGTTATATTATGCAACAATTTTCTTGTTATTTTGTTCTTCGCAAGCATTTTTCTTATGAAAATAACCCCTTTCCGTCCAGCCGTCATGCTTGGTTTGCATAGCTTGTAAAAAAGCTGTTTAATTACGAGAACTATACCAAAATCGTATGAGATTGTGTTTCAAAAAAGACCGCAAATTTTGTTGTTATGAACGTCACTCGCCCAAGGATTCGAAGGGTTAATTAAGTAGGCCTACGGCTCATGAAAAGCATGCCTGTTTGAATCAAAATTAATCTTTTTAGTCGACTAAAATACGAATTAAGTTCGGCTGATGAAAAGTACGGCGTCTAAACCGGGCCTTACGTGTGATGGGCGATAACGTTGAGAATATGATTGAGAGGTATCCATACGAAAATTTCACGTTCATATGATTCCATATGTGAAAATTCCTTTTCACATGTGAAGTGTTTCAATTCTATGTAATAATAATTTTACATGTGAAATTGATTTTTACATATGATTCTTTAATTTCACATGTGGAAAAATATGAAATCAGCATTTTCACATGTGAAATATTCCAATTGCACATGAAATTTCACATGTGAAATGATATGTAAACTTTCCGCAAGGGTAAGGGTAAATGGTGAAGTAATATTTGCAACAAAATTACAGTGCACCTTGTAACAAAATCTGATTTCGGGGTTTGTTAGTTAAAAATGTTTATACGAATTTTGTCTCATTATTATTATTAATATTATTAGAGAACAATTACGTCAAAGAGGTTCTAGTGTTGTGAACCAAATTCATCAGCCAATACTTGATGAAAAGGCGGCAGATTTCATAGAAAATCAAATGGTTGTGTTTTTTGATGATCCACGTGAAGATCCAAATGCTACCACCTATGGCCGACATATTGAGGAGTTGCGAAACGTCATAGTTGACTACATGAAGAAACTTTATAACCGAATGAAAGATGAACATGCACCCAAACCGAACAGGAATGCTGTGGATAAAAAAGTGGACGATTTTATAAAAGGGAATTATGTTGTGGATGTGGCCGCTAAAGAGAAGTGGTTGGATGAAAGCAGAAACACCCAGAAAAGTTTAAGGGTGTTTAACGAAACTAAAGAGAAAGTTGACGATATGTTTAGAAAACTGAAATACCATACAAATGACATGGTGGATAGTTGGGTGAAGGAACTTTATTTATTAAATAAGTAAAATATTTAATATTTAATTTTTTTAATTAATATTGTGTTCATTTCACATTCTCTTCGCGTTGAAATTTTCAAACTTGTTGTTGTGGTGTCGTTGTGAAAATATAATTCATTTCTTAATCTATTAAATCTTGCTGTAGGTTGTAGGAAACTAGACCACACAAATAATTAAAACTAAGTATATAAACGCTTTATACAAATATGAACGATTATAAACGACCTCGATGTTGATAGTACTTTACGATTTTGAAAAACAAGTTATTTTTAAACATAACTTGTAAGTTAATAATCATGCATACCGGAAATGACTAAACAATTAAATATTCTATGTTAATAACACTAAAAACTTTGTCATCGTGAATGAAATCTCAGTACTTATATAATAAACAAATAACATCATGGTTGGTTCGCAAATACGATTTTTATTCACGAGTGGATTATTACAAGCTCACTCGTTCACTTGTAATAATTCACGAGTGAATAAAAATCGTATTTGCGAACCAACCATGACGTAATCGCTATTTACAATCCATGCAGTAAGACTATAATGTAAGTTTTTTATACTCTTTCAATATCTGTCTTCGTTTTCAAAATTTTGATATGTCAATAAACTAAAACTGTGTAACGTCATAATGAGTGACTGTACAATGGAGGATTTTACGTACACTTCGCTATGTTCTCAAATACCTGGGTGCATGTAAATAGCCGAGTGGAATTAGTACCCTCGCCCGGGTTCACCGACCCGGAGCGGCGCTTCGTGCCATTGCTTGGGGACAAAATAGTGGTTAAAACGTAGTTAAATGGTTTATGGCTGCTTTACACTGTCAAAATTTCTATGATCACAGTACGAATTTTACATAAGTAAGTTTTAAAGGGGCAGTATGATCAAAATTTTTAGTTTCTTAAACGAAAGTGCTCGTAAAACTGTATAATAACTTGTTTTGATGATTTTTGTTCTCATGCTTAGTTCTTGAGATATTTCTTTTGTTGGTAACCATGTGACGTCATTTACTCAATTACATATGTAATGAGATATCAGTAATTGTTGTGTATCTTTGCTATTTTTATCAAAATATTTCGAAAGATGCGGCGTGTTTGTTAATTTAACCTGCATCATTAAGCATACTGTGTTTTTTAACAAATCGATCAAAAATAGCAAAGATACACAACAATTACTGATATCTCATTATATATGTAATTGAGTAAATGACGTCACATGATTACAAACAAAAGAAATATCTCAAGAACTAAGCATGCGAATAAAAATCTTCAAAACAAGTTATTATACAATTTTACGAGCATTTTCGTTTAAGCTTTGGTTTAAGAGAATAAAAATTTTGATCATACTGGCACCTTTAAGTTTTGAAGGATTTGCAACAAATGTTTGGGGGAACTGACTCAGTGTTTAATACTAATCAAGTCAGTTTCTTAAACATTTCTTACATATCCTTCAAGACTTAGAATTTACGTACATGTATGCAAAATTCCTACTGTGATCATTGAAATTTTCTAGACCAGCCTTTATATATAATCGGCCCCAGGAATACAATTCAAGCACAGCTCGATCAATGCAGAGTTTCAGCTTGTATGCGTGGCTATGAAATGAGAAATGACATTAAATATAAGATTAAACTGCTTCCAACCCCGAATACGATTTTTGGTATTTGGATTATGAAATGAGGAAATATATATATATAGTAAAAAACATAATTTTGATCAACTTTTTCACTGTCAAAGTTTCCGGATATGATGTCATCATATGATGCAAAATCAAAAGAAAACTAATTTACGATTCATTTGAGACTGCATGCATTACCATTGTTCTTCATTAATTACGCTAATTTAGTAATTTATGATATATACTAAAGTTTGCTCTAAAGAAATTTATCTAAAACGTTGTTTGCTCTTCTATGATATACTGTACAATGTGTTGGCTTATCAAATTCACACTTCAATATTGACGGTTGTTTACAGTAGTAGCCATGAAACTTTTCCTCATCTCTAGCATCACACTATTCCTATTTTCTTAGACATTCTTCATACATACACATGTGATACTGTCCTAGCGTCGTGGGGGTCTGGGCCTAGCCTTGATATCTTTGCATCTTGGTATGTGTGTCTCTGCTACGGTTGGTTTGAACTTCCGTTGACAATACGAACACTCGATGTAGTCGGGATTGGTCAGTGGTGTAGCGGGTTGAGGTTCTTGACATCTAGCTGAGCGAATTAAATGAATAAAGCTCTCCTGTGTTCTTCGCCAGTCCCGTTTCTTTTCCTAGGAGAGAATTTCCCTCCAACTTTAAATAAAGCCTGGTATACAGCTAGACGAGGTTTTCCTCGACAAGTTTACTTTCTCCCGTACAGATACAGATATTAGGGAACTTTAGATTCGCTACGGCTACGAAATCTAATCTAGTATGACTACGAGATTTTTTCCATTAAATATCAACTACTAAAAACTTATAATAGTACGTGGTTTGGCGTAACTGTTGCTATAAAGATGTGATATGCCAAAGAAAGGACGATACAAAGTCTGTAGTAGCAGATATTGAACTGGAAAAATCTCGTAGTCGTGCCAGATTTCGTAGCCGTAGCGAATCTAAAGTTCCCTATTGCACAGCACACTCCCTATCACCGTTTTTCAGTGACTGGTTACATTGTGAATAAAACCAGAACTGACTTGAAGCAGACCGAGGTAGACTGTGAGCTTACAAATGGCGTTTTAAGCAGCCGCTATTAGTCCATACCTCATTAATGATCTGCCACCCTAACCTATGTACCTAACCCACCCTGTCAACTTTCCCTGTGGAAGGAAACCGGAGTCCCCGGAGAAAACCCACGACAGTCACGATTTTCGGCAGAGCGTTGACTTTTACTCTTTTCACATGAGGACTGGGTTCGAGTCACATTGAGATGAAAACACCGAGATTTGAACCTGCGACCTTGGAGGTGAAAGGCAAGTGTGCTGACCACTTGGCCAAGTTTTTCTTGACAAGTTTTTTGCGCGTGCTCACGAAATGTTTTTAAATATTTATCTCACATCAAGGCTGCCTTTTGTTTGTCAAAACTATATAAGTATTTCGTATTACATTGATATTGAAGAAACTCCTGAAATATCACATACTCGAACCGACCTGACCGCGTAGCTCAGTTGGCAGAGCATTGGGCTAGTATTGTAAATTTATCTGTATTCTGTAATTTCTGAACTCTTGGTAATTTCTAGTATTAATAAAAATTTTTGTTGTTGTTGTTGTTGTTGTTGTTGTTGTTGTTGTTGTTGTTGTTGTTGTTGTTGTATTCCAAAGGTCGTAGGTTCGATTCCCACCGTGGTCAGGCATATTTTTCAAGCTTGCCCGGTGTGGATATACACTCAGAGTAACATCACAAGCATCATATTCACCTGAGTACATTACACCAACACAGAAAAAATCAAGTATTTCTTGTTGTCACTTGTCAAGTTTTCCTTGGCAAGGAAAAATTTTTCCGCACACACGAGCAAATGAAATTATTCAAGGAAAAATTGCTCGTCTGAACGAGTAAGTTTTCCTTGATAAGTTTTACTTGCTCCAGTGTATAGGGCAAAAAATTCACAATTTTTTCTTGCCAAGAAGCCTTGTTCCAAAGCTAGTCATGCCAGCTTTTGGACAAGGAAAATTTCAAAATTTGTTCGTGTGTACAGCCGCCAAGGTAAACATGACAAGTGTATAAGGAATTTATATGGTTTTGGCAAACAAAGGGCAGTCTTTGACGTGAGATAAATGCATGTTTAACAACATTCTGTGCACATGAGCAACAAAACTTGACGTCAAGTCAAGGAAAACTTGTCAAACAGCGGCCCGCAAATAATTATTTTACTTGGAAGGACAAATGTCTGGCTTTTAAAATAGCACAATGTTTTTTGCCTGGTCATGTTAGTCCACAGTGCAATGCATCTAAAACTGAGCATATATCTACCAGTCCTAGTGCATCAGTAAATTATAGTTCAGGTTATACATAACTTTAATTTCTACCATGTTATATACGTAGGTGATGTAGAAGTCTTATACGGCTTAATGCAACAAGAAATAGTAGAGAAGTGCTGTCCTTGTTGCTTTCTTGTTGGTTTTAGTAATAAAAATGTGTTAAATAAACATTTTTTTGAGATTGGAGATTTGACCAGCCTAGATCTGTCGGTCACATGTCCGGTCAAAAAAGCTTCGATCGGACAAAAGGTGAAATTTGGCCGGACAATGTCCGATGACCGCGGGCACTAATTTGCAGGTCAAGGAAACTTGTTGATCGTACACACGAGAATGTAAATTTTTTATGGAAACTTGTCAAGGAAACCTTGCTCTTTCATACACCTGAATAACAGCTATAAAATTATTTATACCTTGCATGCAGAGTCGTCACTCGTGTCCTTTCCCATAATAATATATTTCTCCATGTCAGTGCCTTCGGCTCGCTTTCGTTTCGCATCAAACGGTTTCTTGATTCTGGCTGATGCTTTTCTGCACGCCTTTTCATGTTTCGCGATTCTTTCTTTCATAAAACCTCGACCACAGTTTGAGCAAGTAACCAATTCTATCATGGCGTTAACAGAACTTGAATTATTCTGAACCTTGCGTGTTTGTGTTTTATTTGTTTGCTGTTGTTGGTTCGCATTTTCATTTGAAACAGAATTTGTGTCCATCGTTTCACACTGATTATTTTGCTTAGTTTTCTTTGAGTTTAAAGGCGTCTGTTCCATGTATTTCTCTTGACGGCTTTCTTGTTCAGATTTCTTCATATTTTTTGTTGTTTTCTTCTCTCGACTTTGTCCAAGGGCGTTTTGCTTTCTTTCTGCCGTTTGTCTCTCTTTCCCGCCAATTTTTTTATGGCTTTCCATCTCATTGCCGTACTCAGTAATTTTTTGCCTTCGTCGTTCTTGTAGCGCCAACAACTTTTTCTGTTCTCTCGAAATTGTTTCCCGAAGTTCCATTTCAACTTTACACATTTCATCAAAACTTTGCGAGTTTCGCCTGGGAGACGGAGTCGCCATTTCCGTTGTAAGTTTCGCCGTTTTGGAACGCAGTATAATCTCTTCCGTTTTCCTTCGATTCACAAGTTCTTTAATTTTGACCAAACTTTTCGAGACGGCGTCGTTTTCGACGAAAGAAGATGCACGGTCTTCGCTATTTGCGTTCGTGTTTGGCTTCGTGTTCGTGCTCTTCTCCCTGTTGCTTTCTTCAGGTCGTTTTCTTCCACGCTTGTAGATTTTTTGTGATTTAACTCCCCGACGTGCTCTGGTAATTTTGTGTTCGGTGAAAGATGATTCCAGTTCTTGGCTATTTATGTTCGTGTTTCTGTCATTGTTGGTCTCGTCCGATGGTTTTCCACTCCTTTTATAGATTTCTCTTGATTTCACTCCCCTCGCCTTACGTAAAGAAGTATTCTTAACATCTTTATTAACTCCTTTTTTATCACAAGTCGAAGAAAATGATTGGCTTAAGCTGTTGTCCGCCATGTTCACAGCGGGAACATCTTGTTGGCTTTCGGTTTTAGATTTTCGATGTTTTTGTCGTAGTTTACCAAGTTCACTTACGTCTTGTGTTTTTTCCATATCGTTTAGAAAAGCGATTGCTTCCACTTTTTCTTTTCCTTTATCGACCAGTTGTTTTTCTACAAGCTTCGTTTTATCCTTTTGCTTACCTATAATATAATGATATACGCGCGTGACAGTTATATAGAGTTAGCTTGGTTGATACAGTAGATAGGTTATTGGCATTGCGACTGTTTGATTTCTCCAATATGCAGTTGTAGGAAATAAAATTTGTATTGATTCAGACAAATGTATAAACAGGCTGTTGGAAAGTTTGCTTGAAAGTTTTATCATCAGCAAGCGCCTTTCACTTACGAGATCTTGCATGGGTTCGATTCTCTCGTTACACACTCGTGTGAGAAGATGGACTAGATTTTCTCCAATTCGGACTGGACTAGATTTCAAGTCCTCGTAGTTTGATCCAGTCCTCGGCATCGCCTCGAACGTGATCAACTTGCGCGGACTTGAAATCTAGTCCAGTAGTTCTCATAGTCGGATTTGAAAAATTACATCGATCCAGTCTTAAGGCCTGTTTAAACAGCACTTGCACAGGCTTTCTTGCCATCCTACTTTTTCCTACTTTTCTTCAACTTTCCTACTTTTCCTATTTTTTATTAAAAATTGCTTGATTTTCCTACTTTCTCCTACTTTTTCTCATAAAATCCTACTTTCTTAAGACCGCTTGGGGAATCAGTATGTTACAGCTCTCGCAATTAGATATATAGGACTCGTAATTTTTATTCTCTATTTGTGTACCAGATGATAAGATTTCAGGAAGAGAAGAAGTACTTTTTCCGAGTATAAAATTCCATAGCATCTCTAGAATCATAATCAATAAATTAATGAAGATCTAGAGATTTCATTCATAGATGAATGAGTACAAAAAAAAATATAGTGAGCACCAAAAATTCACACAACTTATATCTAATGGTCCACCCCTTACCACATATTTCCTAGGGGGCCAATTTTGTATATTTTTGTGTTATTTGCATCTCCAAAAACTCATACTTTTGTCCCACTTTTCTACACATTTTCCTACTTTATTCCTACTTTTCCTAAAATTCCAGTCCTACTTTTATCCTACTTTTCTACACAAGGATGCCAGAAAGCCTGCTTGCAATTTTTGCTGCGTTTTTAGGTGCGATTTTCGTTTTCTGGTGCACGTGATCGAGTATAGGAGTATGCATGTTCAGAGTATGTGTACCCTCATCTCAGCATTCATAATTCTTCCACTCGTTCACATCCATCAGAAGAAGAAAATCGCTCCTAAAATCGCAGCAAAAAATGCAAGTGTAAACAGGCCTTTAAAATACTCTGGGGCCGGTTGTTCAAAGCTGTATTAGTGCTAACCCTCGGTTAAAATTTAACCTGCTGTTTTAGTTTGTCTATACTTCTGCGCGTTTGTTTCCGCAAAACACCAGAGAAGAAAACTCCTACCGATCCAGAAAAAATTGGAAGAAATATTTCCAAATTTATAAACAAGCTGTTGGGAAGTTTGATTTCAATTTTAGGTTAACCTAGGGTTAAGTTAACCTGCTTTCGAACAACCAGCCCTGGATAATAAACTGATGATCGTTAAGGTTATTATGAGTATAGGTAATCATGCGATGGCGAATACAATTAGGGATTAATAGTACGAGTGATCGATGTTTGGAAATTTTTCCAAAATTGGACGAGCCGACGAAACGAGTACTATTAATCCCTAATTATACGAGCAACATCGCATGGTTACTTGTTTAATATTTATAGCATGGCGAAATTGGATAATTCTCAATGTCAACATCATATTCTCTCGCCAAAGCCCAGTCCTGCCAGACTTTCAACCAAAATATGGTGCTTTTGTTCGCGTATTTTCATTTAGTTCTTTAGCTTTTAGTTCCTCTAAGGCAATTTCTTTCCTCCATTTTGTTTGTTTTGGGAAAATAATTGTACTCCTCTCAACCAATCAGCATCCAGTAATTTTCTCATGCTAATAATACGTTCGGTTAAGTCACTCCACCTTGGTCATAGGGAAGAAAAAGATGACTTACCTTTATATCGTCTGTTTGTCTTAATTGGTGGTAAATTGACTCCACTGCTTGCCCCAGAGGTACTCGCAGCCAACATTCTACGGTTCAGAAAAAAATCTCGAACGCTTCCCTTCTTCGGCAAGAGTTCCGCTCTGACTTTCTGCTCAAACAGTGCGTTAGCCTTCTGTTCTCGTTCATGTAACAATTTTGAACGATAATCCTCCTGAAGTAGTTCTAATTTCGACGGTTTTGTTCTGTCGTGTTCAGTTTGTCTCATCGTTGCATGGTTTCGGGTGAAGTTTATATCATGGAAGTGATATTCAGCTCCGTGGTCAAATAAAGTGTTTGCCATAATCTTATTGTTTGATGTTCTTCACTCAGCGAAGTTGCCTGAAATAGCAATTAAGGTAATTCATTACTTATGCATTGCCCACTTTTACTGGGCGTATCTAATAACAAATTCTAGCTAATATATGTAGTCGAACTGCAATGTAAAGTGATAAAGAAAGAGTAAGGACAAAGAGAAAAACTCTCTGCATTGGTTAGACGTGCTTCAGGAAATGTACCTTAAAAAATGACAGAACTTTTAACATGTCTGAGAAGATGTAAAAAAAAAACATCTTTGCACTACGACAATGGTTTTTGATTCGCTAGCCATGTTTTCTTGTATATAATCACTAGATAGACATTTTTAGTAGGATCCTTGTTAAAAAAAAATTCAATAACGGTTGAGCCGGCAATTGCGATTGTTCCTGTAACTCGTAAAAGGGTCAATATGGGGCCATATGGGGGAAAAGGTTCGCATATTGCACTTGTCATATCTTCGAAACGAGTTCGGTGACCCCAACTTTTTTTTTTGTTTTTACTATATGAGCATATCATAAACTTCACCCCTGGGAAGTTTCAGCAAATTCTCATTTCCAGAACAATTACTGATGGATCACCTTAACATCGAATTAATTTGTAAGTTTAACTATTGTCTAAAAACCAAGAACTAGTTACAACTACCAATACGAACTAGGAAAAATGTGCTCATTCTAATCTGCGTTTATCCTATCGATATGGCTTCTTAATAACAGATATTCCTTTGACAAGCTAGAACTTTGTAGTATACTGCAACTAAGCTTAGCTTTAAGCTTGTTCAGACAATTGACCAAGAGTGCAAGACAGAATGACAATAATTCTAATACTGACATTACTTGGACTTAGTTAAAAATATTACTGCACTAAGGACAGTCGCCTATACTTTCTCACAGCCGCTCAATTACTTTAAAAAAAGATTACTAAAAGCCTTGGGATATATATTTGGGCAGGGACGCCGGAACGATAATAGGGCAAAGGGGGGCGGACGCCCACCAAGGGCACCTTTACTGAAAAATTTTTCACTGCAAAATTTTTTGGCGACCCCCCCCCCCCGTCGCCAAAAAAATTTCGGTCAGTGTACCATTTTAGGGGTCAACAATTTTTTCCGGACATACAAAAATTTTCCGTGAAGCCAAAAATTTTTCCGGATATCTTAAATTTTCGCCAGTTCTTCAGAATATTTTTCTAAATTCCAAAAATTTCCCAAAATTTTTATAAATATAAACTATAAATTACCTGAATCTCGTGATTTTCCTACAAAAAGCATCGTTGGAAATGTGATTTATCACGTATTATTTTACAACTAAAAGGGCACTTCTGCCCCCCCTGCCCCCCCTAGCAAAAGGCAAGGGGGGCAGCCGCCCCCCCTGCCCCCCCCAGTTCCGGCGTCCCTGTATTTGGGGTCTTGTTATAGGTTTAGACTTTAGTATACACTATACCAGTGTACTAAAGTACTAAAGTCTAAACTATACGAACGGTGACAGTGTCTACAATTACTACTTACGAGTTACGGTACAAAATATAACGACTAATGTACAAAATATAACGACTAATGTACAAAATTGAGGTTGAACATACCAATTACAATACTGAGATACAAGCCTTTCAAAATGCTTTCGCTTAAACGAAGACGATTTGAGGAATTTCGACTATAGCATATATACTGTTATTTTAGTTTCAACTCTTACCGACGCTGTCTGCTTTTTCTTTAACGGAAAATCGTGCATTGCTCTTTTTATTTGCGCGTGCTTCTAAGAGGATTACTTCGTTTCAAACTAAGTTAAAGAGGATATCGTAATATAATTGGTCCGATGCCTGTGGATTAGAAATATTTACTCAAAGGTCTTACTTGTCTAGCTCGATGAAATACGTCAGCCGTCATTCGCGAAGACGGAAACGTGCCACGTATATTAGTATATATATATATTTTTAGTGTATTGTTTTCCGAAATAATGTTATCTCAGCTGTTGACATGTTATATAAACGAATTACACTCGAGTAGCCTAAGCAAACTTTAATTTCGCGTCGTGTTTGCCCACACTCAAAAGATAAGCAGAAGACAATCATATGATGTTTTGAGCAAAGCCTTTGCCTCTTTGGCCATTCCGGCTTCTAATTTGTGAGAAGAGTTAGAAGAATCCTACCAATTCGATCTGTTATACGAAGGGTCTTAGCTCGAAAAGTGATCACAGACTGACGATCATATTGGCCGTTTCTGTGATCACAGTGGTAATTTTGCATACATATAGGTAAATTCTAAGTTTCGAAGGATTGGTAAGAAATCTTTGAGGGAACTGACTTAGTGTTAAACACTGAATCAGTTAATTTGCTCAAACATCTCTTACGAATCCCTCCAAAACTTAGAATTTACCTATATGTATGCAAAATTACCACCGTGATAAACCAGGCTTAAAGCCCGGATCAAATGAGGGTTGAGAGTGGATGAGAGTTGGTAATCACGCGACCTTGTTCTTGGGGCGCTTTCCATTTACTGGTCTGACCGGTCAGACCCGAATCCTTTTCTCTGTATCAATGGAAAGATCTGGTCTATGTTTCTCAAATATCTAGCGAAAATGGACCTCATTCTAATGTTATCAAAATTTTCCAGTCAGATAGGTCCGACGCCCAAATGTTTTGTGTTTCATTCAACAATTTGACCGTTCTGATCGGTTTGGCCGTGTTAAAGAATAAAGGAAAGCGCCCCTGGTTAGCTGTTCTTAATGCTTTCCCAACACTATCATGTATTCTATGTAAGTTAAAACAAAGTTGGAACACTCATCGAACCTTTATTTTGTTAATCTAGAGCTTGAAATGTCCCCTGTAAGAATTCGTCACAGCCAACTCTCATCAATTCGCATGAACCATCCTCGTTTGATCGTGGCTTATATATATTAAAATGAAGATCTAGATCTCCTTTTATCAACGCAGCTGCCGGCAATGTTATCTGACATGGTTGTGGGCGATTTTCTTCTTGGGAATATAGGGAACACTATATGTCCGTTTTTGTCTTCCTAATTCCCAAACATGTTCTCAAAATTGACGAACCATGGCATGGGCTAACATACAGCCAGAAGTTACGACATTTTGTTCCATATTGTCCTGTGGCTGTTTTAAATGGCGATTATAATTTAATTATCTACAAATATATTGAAAATGCGGCAAGAATTTCAATTTTACAACCAGCATTTATTAAAAACTTTGCCAGTAGCGTAGTATTATTGTTTGGTAATTTATTACTGCATATGACAACCGATTGCGCTTTCAGTAATTATTTTATTTTTACTAATTATTTTAGTAAGTGTTCAGTAATTTGTACCGTGTGTTTTGACTGCTATTGGCTGGTCATTTCTACTAAAAGCTGCCTTCACTACATTTATATTGATTTAGCGACGTTACTACGGAATACACAGTTGAAAACGCAATAATTTCGACCTAAATCATCCTGAACAATTGCCTTTGTTAATCCCAGCAAGCGATTGGCGGAAACAAGCCACATTCGCGCCTCGCTGCGCACCCAAGAAAATAACAACAATTTCTACTTACTTTTTGACTCGCGAAGCTTCAAGTAGGCAGATCTCTTGGTTGTTCATTATAATTTGGTCTGTGATCTTTTATATATACTTGTTGCTGTTCAAAACATTATAAATTCATTTAATCTTTTCTGTAAACTTTGTTACTTGGCAACGGGTAAACAATTTGCTAACGAGATCAGTGAACGAGATCCCCGGGTGACTTTTTCCGGTATGGTCAAAGGAAAATAGAAGAGAAATTTTCCCAAATATTTCATTGAAAATCTTGAGGAAATACAGCTTGCAAGTGTTAGTGACAAGTTTAAATATTAAATAATTCAACACTGCGATTCTATGCTGCGATTGTAACATCATGTTTGAATATGTTTACACGTAATCGACCGTTTTTTACCATATTTCCCATTTTCGGCAACAGCGTATTAAAAATATCAGCGTGTAAGTATAAAAGTGGAAGTTGCAAAATTTAGATTCACAAAGTAAAGATTAATAAGCTTTATAAAAGCTAAAGTATAAAAATTAAAATCATCAGTTAACGATAACATTGTTTTCAATGGTAAGAATAAGTCTAGATTTTTATTTGTTTCTTAAAAAGTTGAAAATTTGTGTTGGATTTTCGGCGGGAAAATCAAATTTGGTCCCAGCAATGAAAATCTTGCTCAAAGTGGAAACACCTTCACAAATCACAATAAATAAAATTCTAAATGTCCAAGAAAGGGAACAGAAATACTCCTGGAAAATCTCGGAAATCGAGTAGCAATTCTCAGAATGTTGGGAAAGGTAGTTCAGGGTACGATTATGCTGGAAGGATTCGGAAATGTTGCATAAGTTGGCACGAATGTGTGCAAAAATGGGAGGTCACCAACAGCAGTGGTCTCGAGTTGGCGACGAAAATTGTAAATGAACAGCTTCAAAAATCGTAAGTATATTGATATATAGTGTGCTGCTATATATAAAATATTATTAGCCTTTGTTTGTGAGCTAATAAATGATCAAAAACCTCTTTTTAAAACCACTAATTCTCAATATTTTACCTATTGACTATTGAAGGTCTTCTATGCATGTCAGCATATGTCATCAGAAGGCCCACTCTCTACACCTCCCCTTGCACCACACCGAGGAGCATTGGGCATACACTCCTTACCTAAATCCTCCAACACCCTGGAGACTTTTGAGTACTGTATCACTATCCCCATCTATTCCCTAGAATATATGCCCCATACCGCTTGAGGATAGTAACAAGCGGATGTGATCAGGAATATTCTTAAATTAATGGTCCACACGTTCTGCATATCAGGAATATTCTTAAATTAATGGTCCACACGTTTTGAACTTTCTAGCCAGAGTGATGAAGGGTAATGATATTTTTTCATGTTGTAGATCCACAGAACAAGATGGTTTGGATGAAATATCTGCAAATCCTTTCACATTTGGAAAATCAGATGATGATAATGAAACACTAAACGACAAAGAAAAACTTGTGAAAATATTTGATTCATTGGTGAGATATATGAACATCTTGATATACAATTGTTGATGGGGATGAATACACCCTTCTGGAAAATATATTACTTTGGCTATAGAGCCTCATTTTCATGTATCATGTATCCCC